TGGAGAAGAGAAGGCTGAGAGGGGATCTAATCAGTGTCTATAAGTACCTCAAGGGAGGCAGTGAGGAGGATGGTGCTGGCCTCTTTTCACTGGTGGCCACCAACAGAACTTGAGGTAATGGTCACAAACTGAAGCATCAAAAGTTCCACAGGAACTTAAGGAAAATTTTCTTAACAGTGAGGGTGACAGAGCACTGGAACAGGCTGCCCAGAGAGGTTGTGGAGTCTCCTTCTCTGGAGATCTTCAAAACCAGCTTGGACGCAGTCCTGTGCCACGTGCTCTAGGTGACCCTGCGTGTGCAGGGGGGTTGGACTAGATGATCTCTAGAGGTCCCTTCCAACCCTAAGCATTCTATGATTCTATGATCTATCGTATGAGGAAAGACTAAGCGAGCTGGGCCTGTTTAGCCTGGAGGAGATAAGTTTTTTTTTTTTCTTTTTTAAATCTTTCAGAAGGAAAATCATTCATGTCTATCCAGCTTTTTTTTTCCCCCTAACCTAAAGGATAAGTCTTTAAATATACATCTTTTCATTTAAGTTTTTCCTAAACTACAGAGTTTTTCTAGTATTAGTATGATGTGCTAGTACTGTTACATTTGTATCACTTACTGCTAGAAGATTTTGGGGTTTTTGAATTTTTGGCTATTTTTGTTTTAAATTCCACATGATTCTTATTTATAGACTCAGTCTCTATATTTTAGCACTTTATTAAAAATCGTGAAATGAGGGCATTAAGAGCGGAGAGTTTAGCTTTTAAAATCTCTATTTTTTAACACTGTTACATGTAGTAATGTAATAGTAATGCAGAAACAGAGTTACACCAATTTGTTACCCTTAATGGTCCCTTTTCATAAAATACTGTGTTCCTTTTGCAAATCAAGCCTTTTGCAGACAACTAATTCTTGTACTTGGCAGTATGTAAGATTCGCAAGCTTGGCTACAGCACACTTTCATTCTCTTCCAGTTTGCATATATTTGCATTCTGCTGTAATGTTAAGTTTTTTGAATACAATTTCATAGGTTTTAGGGCCATCTTATGTCAGAGCAAGGATAATCTGTATGTATGTTTCAGCTTCTCTGCCAGCTGTGGTGTTGGGAATGCCTTAACTTTTTGGCCACTTCTTGAAGGGCCTGTTTTTCAGTCCTTCAATGACAGTTAAATGTGATAAAAAAAATCTGTCGTATGCTAAAGAATCTATGTAGCATTACTGTTTTAATCCTGTCTAGGAGAGAAGCTGTTAAAGGTATTGGCTTTTAAAGCTCAATTTAGAAAAAGGACAGCAATGAGGAGAGGTTTTCTGTAAAGTGCTAAAAAATCATTAACTTTTTTTCTTTTATGTTAAGTATTGTGAATATACCTATAGCGTATGTTTATTAACCAAATAGCAGGAGCTGTGGTCATCTCCATTACCCAAATATCCCAGTCCTCTACCCTGCCTTTGCCTCTGCTCCTCCCACTCCCCAGGTCACCTCTCTGACTGTAGATACTGTGTATGTGCAGGTATCATTAAATAAAATAGTTATCCATGGTCTTCAGGAGGTGTTCAGTTATCCTTTGTTTCAGACAGAAAATTCAGACCGTGCATCGCATGGCCTGTAAGACTCTCAGACACAAGTTAGTGTCTCTATGTGATATGAAGGGAAAAACAAACAAACAAACATTTTGTTCTATCTATAGAGAGAGATACACTTTCTGCATTTGGGGAGAAAGACAGATAATTTTGCATGTTTAAAAATTACATTTAAAGCCTCTGTCTTCTGTTTCTTTTAAAATAAAGTTGTCTTAGCTGCTTATCGATGGAATTTTCTGTCACTTGCCATATGCTCCGTGATTAATTCTGCAAGGCCTGTCAGGTTCAGATAATTTAATTTTCTTTGCTTTGAAATGACATTCATTATCAGGACATGAAAAATTCAAATGATTAGCTGTAAATTATGACTAATAAAGTGTCTATTTTTGTTTGTTTCCAGAGAAAAGCAGAAAGCTGAAGTCAAGGACAGGAGGGTATTAGAAATTTTGCAAGTCAAAGACAGCCAAATAGAAAGCTTGGAACAGGTTTGTATTATCTTTAAATTGAGCAGTTAAGGAAACTTTTATCAAAGGCATTAATTTATTTTTTAAGGTATGAAAATTGTTTTGTCCTAAGGGGAAAGTCTCGGGTCGCTCAGAGAAACTTTCTAATAAAGTATTAGTAAACTTAGCAGATTTGTTCAAAAAGTTGGCCTTTCACTAAAAAAGTTTCTGTGTGTTTAGATTAAACTTTTTGAAAAGTTTCAGCTTACACATGCTTGCCTCATTTACTGACTGATGCAGATTTGATGAGCTGATGCTCAGTGTTCAAAGCATGCTCTCTTTCTTTCTCATTTCCCATTTCTCCTTTTAGTGTAGATTGTAATTTAGGAAAATCCTGATTAGGTTTATGCTTGTAATATTCCTGTATTGTGGACAGATCTGGAATTCTGGCAAAGGTAGTAAGCTAAGATAAAACATTTTGCAGAATAGGTAGACAGGTAGGCAGAATAGACTAGACATACAGTAACCCAAAGGAAACTTAACTATGTATTTTTAGTGTTACTAATGTATAATGTATACTATGTAAGTTAAATATTAGCATAAACTGTAAAACAGTACTGATAAATCTGAAAAAATCTTATATTCAATAAAAAACACAGGTTGAGCTATGACTTTTTAACTGTTTACTCAAAGATGAGTAATTGCATCAGTAAAAAATGAAGTGTAAAATCACATACTGAACAAAGCATTTGTGACACTGATGGAATGTAAGTTAAAATCGTGAAAATCAAGATAATTATTTAAAATGTAGTCAAAACATTAGAACACTTCATAGGACTTGAAATACTATGCTAACGAAATCCATCCCTAATGGGTGCTAAGTAACTGGGAGAGAGCAATAACCCTTTCACCCCTCTTTTCTTCATAAACCTTAAACAATCGCCTTCTTCAAATTATAGCATGAGCAGAATGTCCTTTCCATTATTAAGGATGTTACAGCCGGATGAATTGTGAGAGAGAGAGTTAGTGATAACAATGGTAGCAAAAACACTGACGTCCAGTGTGCTTTCCAGTGTCTAAATCTTGCCCGTTGTGGGGTCAAAAGGCTGCGAAGTAGAGCTTTTTTCCTTACATTTGAAAATGCCTCAGGTAAACTGGGTTTTCCCTATCTATTCTGATTTATTTTACCTCTGATTTATTCAAAATAAGCCCAGCATGCTTGTTGCCTGACTGGAAGCAGCAGTGAAATGAGATTAGTCACCTCTTTTATTTTATATTAAATCAGTGACTGGAGTTTTTGTTCTGTCTCCTCAGGGCTGGAAGTATGATTCATATTGCATCTGGTGCTTATATGTACATAATTGTTATTAAAGTTATGCATGATTATTTCTGCATTTCTAAGCTATTTGCTGTTCTTAGGTGAAAGGGAGCATGCATGTTTCAGAAGCTTGTAGGACGTTGTGTTCTGTAATGTGTTCTGTAATGTGTATAACAGGGGCTACTTGCTGTGTCAGCACTTGGACCTCTCCATTCCTCTCCTTGAGTTTACTGTACGTTGTTTCTGATCGGTTGTAGAAACTAAAATTGAAATGGATTAGAAATCAGAAACTGAAAGATAATGAGGCAGTTGCCCTCTGGAAGGGGAGAAGGGTTGAAAATGTAACAAACTAAATAAAAGAGGTAACTGAGGAAGAGAGATCTGCCATTCTTAACTCCACCGTTTTCCAGGATGCCTGGGAATGGAAACTGAGAGGCATCGATTGAATTCCTGGAGTGTTTTTAATGATTTAGACTCAGCAAATAATCCAAGCTCAATTATAAAGTGGTTAGAAAATCTTCATTTTGGACTTTCAGTACAGCATAAAAAAAAATTGAGTTTCAACACAGATTGCTACATAAAACTTAAAGCAATTTTCTAATGAAAGCTGCAGTGAGAAAAATGCTGTGCAGAATGCCTACTACAATATAAAAATGTGTATTAATTAAAGTATTTGTAAAATGATGTGTTTTTTTTTTTAATAACCGTATTTGTAGTTGACTAGTGAGTAACTTTTGGTCTTGGCTGTAGTTCAGTTGGCATATATGTGTTTATTCCTGAGGTAAAAGTCCAGCTCTTTTGAGTGGCTAAACTGTTATAAGAGGATCTTGCTGCTCGTATTTCATCTAACGTTAGCATTAAATCATTGGTTTAGAACTCTTCTCTCAGTAGAGATATATCATTGCTGTAAATATATGGTGTCTTCTTCAAGGAAAAGGATATATAGGTATTGCCTTTAAGTGGACTTCCCTCCATCTTTTCCCACTATTTTTCTTCTGAAGAATGACTACTGACCACTTTCTGTTTTCCTTTGTCTTGAAAAAATGTTTCCTACCTGGCATATTGAATTTGTATGTGTTTCAAACAGGTCATTGGACTTGTCTTCCACACTGTCTTTTTCTTAATAAATACAGTTTTTGGAAGAATATGCTAAAATTTGGGACACAATGAACTATTTTGATTGCTATTTTCAGAGGGCTGTGGGAAAATAATAATTTGGTCTTCTGCATTGCATGCAAGAGATAAATCATATTCATCTGCTTCCTTTAGAACATAGAAAAACTAAAGATGACTAAATGTAATATTCAATGTTTTCTTTCTTTTAAAACTTTTTAATTAATTACCTTCTAATTTTGATATGGAAGAACTAAAGCTAATCTTTTTGTCCTAGACCTTGTAATGTTTAGAAACCTTATTAACTGGTTATACTCCAGAGGGGTTAAAATAGTACTAGCTTGACTCATAATCAGCACTTGGAAATCTTCAGCTTGCTGTGTAAATCTGTATTAATGCTCCTTTAATGGCTCCAATTGAAGGAAGCATGATTCTATCATCAAGCATTAACTAACATTAATAAATTTTATTCTTAAATTTTATACTTTTTCCTGACTGTATTTTTCTTTGTAATAAAATGTTATTAAATTAAGACAAATGTATACACACATTATTACCATCTTAACATTTTATTTCTAATAGCATATAACCTTGATTATTCTACTGTAATGAGGGACTTGAGAATAATTTTGGTAATAGGGAGTTTGAGTGAATGCGTCAATGGTGGTGAGATTATGTAGAGTTTATAAACTCTTTATGGAAAAAGTTTCTCCAGTGAATGAGATTTATAAAAGTTCCAGGTTAACGATATCTCAGGGTACTAACACATTTTTTTTCATCAGGAGAATTTTTACTGAGGCGAATTTCAAAAAAAGGGATAGAGCCTGCAGTATTGAACAGCCCTCTGCACTGCTGTTTGTGCCTTGTTGTCTACCATCTTCTGGTTACCTTTCTCCTTGGACTAACGCAGAAGAGTCTGCTTTAGGATAAGGATTGAGTGAGGAAGACAAGAGGGAAAAATATTTATAATTCCAGTGCTGAATGCTGTGGATTCTGATTTATTGATACAAGGCTACCTGAGTTAGGTATTATGATGGCTACGGCTAATACCTGTGGGCTTGTTTGTCTAAAGAAATTAATAAGCAGTAAATTAGGGTGCATCTTTATAGCTCATTAGTACGTTTGTGCGAACTCCCCTTAGGGATGCTTTGTCTGCAAGTTGAAAATGCCTTTCTGTGATATAGCTTACTCCATTCTGAGGAAGTATGCGGCTTGCTACTTCCTTATTATTCCTGCACTTCATGTCAAAAGAGCAGCCACAAGTGGGCAGCCTGTCCTGGCGTCCTATAAGTCCATGTTTGATCTTTACATTAATCCCTGTGTAGCAAGCCTTGAAGTTGTCTAAAGCTTCTGGGTCTTTATTACTTGGTGTTCCTGCCTTGAGAAACATTTCAACAAAGATATCCAGAAATTGACTTGGATTTGGCAGGAAAAAGTACAGCAAACAACAAAATGTGATGTAGTTTGTACTCTGCCAGCCCTTCTGGTGGGAAATGCTTGGTTCTTATTGGCTCTAACAGAGCTAAATATTCAAACCTGGAAAGGAGACAAAGTTTGTTTTTATTGGCCTCATCTCTCTGATCACATTTGCCTTCTAAGGAGTTGAATTGGATTTTTGGCAATTTATTGTCCATTTCAGGTAAGAATAACTATCAGATAGCCATTATACTTACAATAGGGTGGTCATTTTTTATTTAAATAAAAGTAGTTTCTTATTATAGGAGTGATTCTTTAGATGTGTTGAGCACCTTATCTGGTTGTTTTAGTGACATATGTTAGTGAATATGTATTTGCCTATGCGTATATATGGTCAGCATGGCTGTGAGAGGGTGAACCTACCCCCATGAAAGGACAGCAGGATGGTATCTTTCAGCCTTCTCCAATTAGATGAGCTCATTTCATCAGGTTGTTGGTTTTGATTTGGAGTTGGGTTGGGGGTGAAAGAGGAGATATTCTGGATTTTCTGCTGCTTGACACAACAGTCTGAGATGCTTCTTCAGCAACTTCAAAATATAGTTGCTAAGGACAGAGGAGAGGGTAGACAATATAACAATATTTTGACCTGTGCTGCTTTACAGTTCTGTATTGTAGATATTATGTAAAATCCAGTCCTTCCTGGTATAGAAATTCCCAGGCAAAAGAGAAAGAGGATTTATTCATAGTACTTGGTGGTTAAGGCGTTTTTAAGGTTGTGGCATATCCAGGATTGTCAGAATTGAATGGATTGTCAGTGTTTGCTTTGGTGATTCTTGAGGCTGCCGTAATACAGAGGAAAATGACCAATTAATACCTAAATCCAGCAGACGCATTACTGCAATTCTTGCAGTATTGTGGAAGATGCCGGATTTATCCTGAAGCTGCAGGATAAATGTTGTTGTCAGTGAGGCTAGAGCTGTGTGTTTTAATGCAAAACTGCCTCTAATTATTGTCCACTTGCAGGGCAAAGAGCTTTGATATTCCTTGCTTGGCGATGGCAAACCTATCGCTCATGTGCCAGAAATGGCTGACTTGTCAATACAAAAAAATGGCATAAATGCCCACTTCAGCTGGTGGTCTCTATTGCTTCTGTCACACCTTGGCAGCAGAAGCAACAACCAGAAGTGATGCAGCA